GCTCCCATTCCTGGACGCCGTTCTGTCGGAAAGTCTACGACACTATCCGGCGATATATCGTCTGAATAGAGAGCCCGCGGAGAACGTAGTGCTGAGCGCCGGCGACGGTATCGATGGGCCGACCATTACGGTCGAGAAGGGAGTGCTGATTGAGATACCGGTGTACGCCATACACCACGACCCGGACCACTATCCGCAACCGTTTGCCTTCAAACCCGACCGGTTTTTGCCCGAAAACCGGCACCAAATCAAACCCTATACTTACCTACCGTTCGGTGTCGGACCCCGTCATTGCTTTGGTATGCGCTTTGGATTGCTTAAGAGTAAACTACTTTTGGCCAAAATGATACGGCGCTACCGTTTGTATGCGGTGCCCGACACCGACCAACCCGTCATTTTCAACGTCAATCACGTGATTTTGGAGCCCCGGAGGCTTGTGGTGGGCGTTGAGAAGCGTTGAGTTATATTTAAAAATGATTTGACACGTTTGCATTCATTGCATTTTATTTAGCCTACATGTTTTATTATAATATGTCAACCACTTGTTTGTATGCTTAAATAAAATAAAATATTGTAGATTAGTTAAAAATGGTCTAGTAATTATAATATTAGCACAAACCACAAAAGCTTATCTGGCCTAAAATGTTTACTTTAGTATGAAATGTGCGCATCTATACCGACGCCCAGTGCGTTGATGGCCGCCCGGCGACCGTTTATCAACGCTCGGGTGCTGTCACTAGCAAACTGTCTACCAGTTAGTGATCACATTAGTAACCATGCAATTGAAGATGCGAACTTAATTAAATTAAAACAATATTCAATAGTTGTTAATATATGTTTCGTATAGAGCCAAACAGAGGTTCATTTTTGCATTTGAATTCAATATTATGATTAAGTTTTTGGTAAAATGATGTGAAAAATGTAAAAATGAACCCTTGTTTGGCTCTATACGAATCACATAATGTATACAGTATATTATAATTTTGTGACGGTTCTTGTGTTAAAAAGTTGTACACATAGATGGCGTGTGTGAACGGTATGTCGAATGTGTACTAACATTGAAACGAACCGTACGGACGGTTTAATATTACTAAATATTAGTTTTAAAAGTATGGTTCCGTATGGCAGTACGGTATTTGATTACAAGTAATTATAATGTATTGTAATTAAATGTATAAAAACATAATTAATTGTAATGTTAAGAAAAAGAGTTTGTAATTGAATGCATGTATGGAAATGAGTGGATCTGTAGTTCTGTTTCTAATTAGTGTCATAAAACGGGTAAAACTGCTTCTCAAACATAATTCTCAGAATTGAACTGAAAATGTAAAACTAAAATGAAAAGTTAACTATAAAACTAAATGATAAAACTAATTGTAAAAATGTATGATAATTTATTCTTCTAAGTCTTAGAGTTGATCCTATGAGTGACTTTTCTCACAATTTATATAAAATTTATATTACATATAAAATGTATATAAAATTAATGTAATAAATTAAAATTAAAAATTAATGTATTATTAACTAAAAATTATTAAAATATATAAAGGAAAATTTAATGCAATAAACGTGTATTTTACTTTTAAGCACTTTGAGTAAGTATACATCTATGCAAATGAATTGCAAAAAATATATCCTAGTACTAAACAAACAAATAATATTTTTAAAATCGCATAAAATATTCTGGTTGTTACAAACCAAGTTAAAATAAACAAGTCTAATATGAATAAATGATTTCGCAGTATTTAGTAACCTTGCTGTTTTAAATTAAATTACAACATAATAAAAATTTACTAGCCAATAAACAAGCCCAACTTATTTTATGCAATTCAGTTAAGCAGCATAGGTTGATTGTATTAAGTACAGGTGAGTATATTAGTGATATGTGTGTTAGTTTTATATTATTATAACACAGGCCAACATTTAAAACTTTTTCTAACTAATTTGATAAAGGTAATATTTGGCAATATTTACTATGTTATCTCTATTAAACATTCAATACATGTTGTATTCATTTGTATCGGTCGCTGCGATTTTACTCACTATTAAGTATTTGTAAGTATATTATTTTAGATATTGCGCTAGAGTAAATAAGCATACCATGCTAGGTTTATTTTATTTGTCATTAATGATAGAAAATGCAGACATTTATTAAAATACTGGAAAGACCGCAAAATCTCGGGCCCCAAACCTATCATATATTTTGGCAACACTTTAACCGCATTATTGAAACCAATGGCTTATACGGAGATGGAGTGGTATAACAAATACGGCCGTATATAAACGGTGTCCCAATGACTTAGTACTATTGTAAATTTACATAGGAAAACATTGAGTTAGTGCTTTATTATAAACACGTGTAGATCATGCATCTATAATCCAATTTTAATAAACTCGGTCATTTTCAGACATATATAAATTACACTTTATCTCCGGGAACTAATAATACAATTTCACTAATGTTCTTGCCTATTTCTATGACAATATTTAAACTAAATGTATTATTTAAGAAATGACGGTCAAGAAAACGGATTTCTTCATTCAAAAATTTAAATAAATATCAGAATATTTAAAATTTTCTTAATTTATAATAAAAACATATTAATCAACATAATAAGTTCGATGGTTATTAGATGTTAGCTATTTTATTGAGAAATAACGCTTAAATAAATAATTTAAGAATAAAATTACTGTGAAGAGTACAGTTGCGTAAAATTAAT